GTAGATCTAGGTGGTGTAGAACCGGGTGCTGTAGAACCGGGTGGTGTAGATCTAGGTGGTGTAGAACCGGGTGCTGTAGAACCAGGTGCTGTAGAACCAGGTGGTGTAGATCTAGGTGGTGTAGAACCAGGTGGTGTAGAACCAGGTGGTGTAGATCCGGGTGGAGTAGATCTAGGTGGTGTAGATCTAGGGGGTGTAGAACCAGCTGGTGTCTCTACCCTCCTGGTTCTAGTCAGATCTCCAGCTGCAGCTTCTGGTCTCAGTCTGACCTGCTGCAGGAATCAGAGCCACTAAATCCTGGATGAGTTTCTCTGGTCTCAGGTTTTAGTCTCTGGTTCTGAATACTTTTGTTTTCTGGGAATCATAAAAGTGACTGACTGCGTTCTCTGTCCCGTCCCGGACAATTAGCACTTTGGTACATCTTTCCTTTTCCTGATGTTCACTTTGGGGCGTCGGTGAACTCATCTCGCCTTCCTCGAAGTCTGAATGTGTTAGTAGAGCTGCTATTGTCTGCGTCGTCATGGTAACTGATCTTATTTCCTGCTATAGCCTGAGCCAGTGGGAGCATATAGATATAGAACCAGGGGGCACCTAGGATGGAGCCTTGGGGAACGCCACATGTGACCTCTGACCTCTTGATGAGAAGTTTCCTGTTGAAACAGAGAAATCCCAGTTCTTCATGTTGGACTGGAACCAGCTGAGTTCTGGACCGGAGAGTCCGACCCAGCTCTCCAGTTGGTTCAGTGACATGATCAACACTGAGGTCCACCAGAACCAGGACCAGAACCAGCTCTATGGTTCTTCCATGTTGATGGTTAACAGTTTAATCTGAGGAACATTTTGGGCCCGTCTTGATCCAGAACCAGAACTCTTGAGTCAGCAGAACCCACACACGATTCTGTTTCAGGACCCAGTTCCTGGCAGTATGGTCCAAGGGAACCGGTTCTTTTCGGATCAGCAGTTAGTTTCGGTCCATCACGTCCTCTGCCTTTGCTTCACGCGCGCATGTCTGTTCAGGTGTCGGATCCGGCGCCTCAGCAGACTTTCCCACGGTCTCCAGGGCAACCACCTTCTCCTTCCGGGCGGGCACGCGCCGCACGCATCAGGTTCTCACCTCAACAAAACCTCCTCCCTGCGGGTCATTTGCGCGCGTGCGAACCAAACGACGCAGTGATCAATAGTTTTCACACCCGCAGAAAGAAGGAGGTGAGAAAACAGGATGAAAGGACCAACAGCCAATCACAGAGCAGGACGTGAGCATTGTAACTTCTCCCATCAAAGCGCCGCTGAGGTTCGCAGCACGCGCTGAAAGCGTCACATCGATCCGCAGATGGCACGCGATCGAATATGCGCAAATGATCAGTCTGGCGGCGCGTGCGCGCTGCTCTATCTGTCCCCGGGGAGAGCTGCACGCGCCCTGCCGTCACTCATCATGATGGAGGCGCGTGCGTGTGAGCGCCTCGTGCCGTGGCACGCGCCGCTTTCTGTGGTAACAGATGGACAAGAAGTAGGTTTGTGAGCATGCGCACACGCTGGGCTTACCTGTCTGCGGCTCACCTGGCCCCACACACTCGGCGGTTCTGGTTTCAGCCCAGAAAGGTTCTGTTAGAACCAGAACCAGCTGCAGGTTCTGGACTGAATCTTAGTTCTACACAGTTCGGTCCAGGTGAGAGCAGACAGAACCTCCTGACATCAGAACCAGGTTCCGGTTCTGCATCCAGAGAGGAACGGCTACAGAACCAGAACCGGTCCACTCGGCGCTGACCTCCAGAACCAGAACTCTGTTGTCAGTTCTGTTGGGTCGGCTGATCAGATGAGAGCTGCTTCCTGATTGGCTGCCTGGACAAGTTCGGTTCTGGAGCCATTCAGAACATCACGGGTCCAAACGGAACCACAGTCTTCAGAATTGTCTCTGTCTTTTGTTGACTGTGAAGTGATTCAGAACCAGAAGGTTGATGACCTGGAAGCAGGTCGGGTTCTGGGTCGGTCCGGACCGAACCTGTAGAGCTTTTATTTTAATAGCAGCGGGTTTCCAAGATCCAAGGTTTCCGATTGTTCAGGTTCGGCAGGTTCGGCTCAGAACCCTCCTTCCTCTTTCTTCTTCTCTGAAATGTTCTGAACATCAGAACAGGAGATCCATCATGTCTGCTGGATCGGAACCGAACTCCCCTGGTTCAGGAACCCCCCGTCCCTCCTCCCCCTCCGGCTCCTCCTCCTGCCCCTTTATAAAGCGGAGTTGAGAGCGCAGCTGCCGCAGTCCAGAGTTCAAACAGCCGCACTTCAGTTTCTTTTCAGCGCAGAAAGTAGATTAGACCTGAAGACCGCTTCTTCTTCTTCTGGTACTTTTTCTGCTTTTCCTTCTTCTTCTGGTACTTTTTCTGCTTTTCCTTCTTCTTCTCTTCCCGCTGCGGTTCGGGTTTTGTTCCTCCGCAGTATTTTTGTTTTATTTTTGGCGCAGATCAGCGAGCATCGGGCCGGCAACGCTCCAACATGTTGCGGTTGTTCCTGCTCCTGCTGGCGGTGCCGGTCCGGACGGTGAGTGGCTCCCACAGGTTCTGACGGGCCGGACCTGGAGTCCCGCTCCTTTACGCACAGAGACTGAAGTTTCCCTCACTGCCTCCCCCCCCCCCCCAGGTTCTTCCCCCCAAGGCCGGGTTCGGCCTAAAG